AAAATTATTTGTGTACAAAAATAAATTATTTTCCATTGCATTTTTTTTTAAATACTGTACACACTGAAATAAGTTTGTTGACAATCATGTTCTTCTTATAACAGGATGATTTCAAAGAGCACAAGGATTTTGAACGAGCCAAATCAATCAGGCCAAAAGCAACAGAGTATGGCGACAAACTCCCCTTCCAGTCGGTGACCACTCATACTACCGACTACACACATAAATCTGTATCTCCTCGGCCGTCTGCTAAAAAAGACAACACCTACAAACCAAGTGGAGAAATCTTCCAGGACGTTTCAACTTTCCAAAATGATTTCACTGCTCACAAAGACTTTGTTAGAGAAAAAAGTTTTAAACCAGAACAAAGATACATGCCATCAGGTCAGTACATGTACTATTTTTGCTTCAATTAGACCTAATCTAGAAAATGTTGCTTTGTATGTGATATAGTTCTTCCAGTACTAAGCATATTCAGTGGGTTTTAAATTCAATGTTTTATCATTTAGATACAATGTAACATGTACTATGCTAAATTTTACATATTCACTGGGTTTTAATTTAGCGCATTTTCCAGTCAGCGAAACAAGTAAAATTAAAACTTAGTGAATAAATAATCCTTTTCAGTAGGTGTAAATATGAAAGAAATCATGGGCCACATTTTTGTTTGTGCCTAAAGTCACTGATACGATCACAAACAATTTTATTTTTCTTGAAGACTTATCGATTCCTTTCCAGCAGTTCACAAGCTGACTGAACTTGATTTTGGTAAATTTCATTTTGACTCAGGATTCTTACAAAATAAGTTCTGTTATAGGGCACACTGCTTACATACTTATCTTTCTTCTGTTAACTTTCTTAGATGAGAAGTTTGATGGAACAACCATACACAGTATGGCATATCAAGCTTGGCCTGTACAGGAAAAAGAAAAACCTCGCTGGGCACAGCGTACAACATATACACACCCAGTTGGTCATTACGAACACAAGACAAGCTATCAAGATAATTTTATTGATCCCAAAACGGTCTTTGATCCGAAAATCCCCAGCAGTTGCCGTCCAGAGCCATTCCTTCATGACGGAAACCTAAAGCCGGATGACGGTATTCCATTTGAAAGAAGTACTCAGTATAAAAACGAGTTTGTGAACTGGGAAGGAACACGGCCTGCAAAGTCTTACAAGCTACAAGTAAAATACCAGCCACCAATTACAAAATTCATTGCAGAATCACATGTAAAGCTCACTACAAAGGAACACGTGCACCAGCAGCAAACATGTGCAGACCTCTACAGCGCCCTCTCTCATCATCCAGTGCTACAAGGTCAATGAGAACAACGTATCAGGATTCCTACACTCGACCAAAAAGCACTGTAAACTAGACACATACATTTTCCATGACATACAGCAAAGAAAGAAAAAATGTTTTGTTAGTGACTATTATGGAATATTTATAAATAACTATAGGAATAAAGAATCCAAAAGTAAAATTGACAAGTTTATTTTGT